GAGATGCAATTGTCTTTGGAGGAAACCCAAGTGGAAGTGAGGGAGAAATTTGCGATCCTGGCCAGAACAATGACGGTGCTTCTGCTGAAGATGAAGAAGTAAAAACTGACGACACTGAAGAGAGGAATCCCATGGCACATAATTGACAAAAGTGCTTCTGTTTTTTGTGATGAAATCAGTATTACTGCATTGCTCCATCAACACTACTTCAATTTCTCTACCCGTATCACTGCAATTGCTCCATTAAACTGGTCCATAAATTCTGCTTAAATGCTGAACTGACGCAACGCGAAACAAGGAATTGAATGAAAACCTCAAAAACACAATTTTTGTAATCTACCAAATTATGAAAGATAAAATCACGAAGTATTATTAATGGCAAGATGATATAAAATGAAGAATTAATGCTTTTTTTTTTTTTATGAGGATTTACACGAAGACCTAGTTTAAAAGAACTAAACTTAAAAAGAATTCGAAATAAACTAAACGACAAAAATAGCACTAGAATTTTAAAAGCAGTTTTCGAGTCCTAAACGAACTCGAATGGCTAAAATCCATCATATGTCATAGCAAAACGGTGAGTTCAGTCAGGCTCGTTGTTCTCCTTCTAAAAAGGTATTATGGGCTCAAATTGAAGCTCAAACACCAAATCTGCAATTTACTATTTTTCCCTTTTCGATCCAAATGTTCTTCAATCCACTCGGCCATCTATTCTACATCATGAACGTGACTCCGGTGCCTTTCCTTATTTTTGTTGGTTTCATCATTTGGTAGCCATTACGTTGATTGTAAATAGATATAGTTGACTATAAATGCTTATAAATATGTAAACTTTTTTCAATAGAAGATATACATTACTGAATCATTTTTTTTCATACAATATCAGAGAATATTTTCTTCCGCTGAGTCAGACACATTCCTGTCATGTCTCTTCCTCTGCAATTTTCATATTCAAGAAAGATTATTTCACTTGCTCCTTTTTTATCTGGAAATGTGGCTACAGTTATCAAAAAATCTAAAGATGTCAATACAAACATAGACATCAATACCCCTCCCCATTTACATCATTCACATAATCTTGGTTTTGTTTGTCTCTCAATTCTCAAATCTTGACAGTTGAAAATTATTCCACTTGGAGCAGCGCTATGATTGTGGCTATTAGTGTCAAGAACAAGATTGGTTTCATTGATGGCTCAATCAAGAAACCAAAGTCATCCAATTCGGATTATAACTAGTTAGTTCATTGCAATAATAAGTATTAAACAATCCAAAGAAATAAAGAAAAATAAGATGAGGCTAGAGTTTCATTGATTATGCGTAATGCAATTGAATACAAAAAGA